CACTATGGTTGTTTTCTAAGAGGGAAATTAACTTTCTAGCAGCATGTCGACCTGAAATTTTTCATTTTTCATTCCAGTTCACCCGCATTTTATAAATTTGGGTCTACCTGGGTTTTGCTGTTGGTCATGGCTGAACTGGGAGGAACCAGTTTGAAGCTTTACTTTAAGATACAGCAGTTGAATAACAAATTTCAGAGTTACATGCCCATCTTCATGAAAACTGTAATAGTGCCTGCCTTATCACTATGCTGAATTGTGATGGCTTTGTAAATACTATGTAGTACATTTACATCTTTATCAGCCCAGGGTCCAGTCAGGAAAACAGAAGTCATTCAAAGTATTTTAAACAAATGACATTTACTATGTAGAATTGGTTCCAGACATGATAAAGTCTAGATGGTTCCTAGGGAGTGCAAATGGTTAAGGTGTTCACTGTTGACTGAAAGACTGGCAGTTCAACTCAGAGGCTCTCAGAAGCAAGCCCTGGCAATCTACTTTTGAAAAATCAGCCATATTAATCCTATGGATTATTAACCCCTATGAAAAATAAGCCATACTAATCCCTTCAATATCAATGGTATTGTAGGAATAAGTCCAAGATGCACTGAAGCACTGGTGAAAAGCAAGGCTTTTGGAATTGATGGAACACCCATTGAAATGTTTCAACAAACAGATGCAGTGCTGGAGGTGCTTACTCATTTATGCCAAGAAATTTGAAAGAAAAATACCTGGCCAACTGACTGGAAGAGATCCATATTTGTGCCTATTCCAAAGAAAAATGATCCAACAAAATGTGGAAATTATCAGACAATATCATTAATATCACATGCAAACAAAATTTTGCTGAAGACAATTCAAAAGTAGTTGCAGCAGTATATTGACAGGGAACTACCAGAAATTGAAGCCAGATTGAGAAAAGGATGTTATATTGATCTTGGGTGAAAATAAAGAAAATAAAAAAGATGTTTATGTGTGTTTTATTGACTATGCAAAGGCATTTGACTGTGTGGATCATAACAAATTTTGGATAACGTTGTGAAGAATGGGAATTCCAGAACATTGAATTATGATCATAATGCACCTGTACAAAGACCAAGAGGCAATAATTTGAATAGAAAAAAGGGATACTGCATGGTTTTAAATAAGGAGAGTTGTGCCTCAAGGTTGTGTCCTTTCACCATAGTTATTTTATCTATGGTTGAACAAATAATCTGAGATGCTGGACTGTATGAAGGAGAACATGGCATCAGGATTGGAGGAAAATTCATCAACAACCTGCAATATACAAATGACACAACCTTGCTTGCTGAAAATGAAGAAGACATGAAGCATTTATTGATGAAGATCAAAGACTACAATCTTTGGAATGGATTACACCTGAATGTAAAGAAAATTAAAATCCTCACAACTGGACTGATAAGCAACATTATGATAAATGGAGAGAATACTGAAGTTGTCAGGGATTTCATTTTACTTGGATCCACATCAGTGCCCATGGAAGCAGCTGTCAAGAATTTGGATGACATATTGCACTGGGAAAATCTGCTGCAAAAGACCTCTTTAAAGTGTTAAAGGGCAAAGATGTCACTTTGAAGACTAACATGTGCCTGACGAAAGCACAGTGTTTTCAATAGCCTTATATGCATGTGGTAACTGGACAATGAATAAGGAAGACAGGAGAAGAACTGATGCATCCAAATTGTGGTGTTGGTGAAGAATACTTAAAATACCATAGAATGCCAGAAAAACAAACAAATCTATCTTGGAAGAAATATAGGCTGAATGCTCCTTAGACATGAGAATGGCCAGATTTCATCTCAGGTGCTTTGAGCCTACCATCAGAAGGGGTCAGTCCCTGGAGAAAGATATCATGCTTGATAAAGTAAAGGGTCAGTGAAAAAAGGGAAGACCTTCAATGAGATGGATTCACACATGGCTGCAATCATGCACGCAAGCATAGCAAAGATTGTGAGCATGGCCCAGAACCAGACATTGTCTCATTCTGTTGTACACAGGGTCACTGTGAGCCAGGAATGACTTGATGGCACCCAACAACAGCAGAACAAAAATGGTGAGGTAACATTAAAGCAGAAATTTATAACTGCAGAAAGTGGTTACCAGCCCTGGAACTGGTGAAACAGAAGGAAAGGGTAGTATTATTAGAGCCTAGCAGCATTCTCACTGCTATGCATATCATACGGTGGTGGGAAAAGAGGAAGTTAGGACCATCAAGGAGGAGCTATAGTAACTGGTTCTGTGACTTTGTAAGTGATGTACCCACTCCCAATGATGCCAGAAGCAAAAGTGAAGAACAACAGGTTCTCCCCATCTTCCATCTTCTTATCTCCTATCTGTGCTTCCTCTTGGCAGAATTTTATTGGAAGTCATCTCATAAAGAAGCCTGGGAAGATTCCCAGTTCCACCATCATCAGAGCAGAATTTGACTTACTTGGTGTTGGGTCTTTGATTGACTCTATCATCTATCAATGTTCCTGCCACATAAAATGCTCAATAAAAATCAAATAAATATTTGAGTGAAAATTCCTATTCCCATCATTGGTAAAAGCTGAAATCAGTACGCGACTTAAATGAGTGGCATCTTTAAAAGATTTTTAAAGAAATGCACCATACTTCATACATACACATTAGTACTGTACTGTCTTTTACAGAATAGTTCCCATTACTCAAGGAATTTTTAGAAGTCCTCTTTTGAAATTTCCTTTCAAAGTTAGTTCTTGAAAAATATATGATAAATTAGTGGACTCTAAGGAGCCCTGGGGGAGCTCTGGTGTCGTAGAGCCTAAGGCATTTGACTGCTAACCAGAAGGCTGGTGGTTCAAATCCACCACCCACTCCTCGGAAGGAAGACTAGGCAATCCACTTCCATAGAGATACTGCCTCGGAAACCCAAGGATGGGTCACTTTGACTCAACAGCAGTGAGTTTGATTTGGTTTGGTAAGGAGCCCTGGTGGCACAATGGTTAAGTGTTTGCTTACTAACTGAAAGGTCAGAGGTTCAAACTCAACAGTGTTCTGTGAGAGAACGATTTGCTTGCTATAAGATTATAGCCTTGAAACCCTATTGGGCATTTCTGTTCCTTTCTACAGAATCGCCGAGTCACTATCAACTCTATGGCAATGGATTTTTTGGAATCTAGTCTTGCCCACTTTGGGCCTAGCCTGACTCACGTGGTTTTAATCTGAAAGATTTATCATTATTTTAAAAAGTTAAATCAACTCTCAAAGAATAAAACTTGTTAATTCTGGCAAATATTTGACACAAGCTTCAATTAGCTTGAGCAATTAGATGCCTACTTTACCTTCCTCACTTTGAGTTTGGAATAAAATTACAAATGTGGTGAATTACAATGTTAAGAACTTGAGTAAGACTTTTGTCTGTGCTCTCTCCCTAAGAAGAGAAAAATCACCTTCCTTCCCACTAGGGTAATTTCAGTAGGCTATTTGTTTCCACATCCCAGGGTTATTTCCTGCTAAGACAAATGTACAGGTACAAAGAGAGCTCTCCTCTAAGACACAAAGCAAGTCACATTTTACAATTGCCAAGTCTCTCTTTCCTAAAGGGAAGACTCCATAAAATGCATTATGGTAAAATAGGCAACTGTTAAGTGCTAGTGAAGTGTGGAGCGCTTTGACAGAACGGAGAAGTAACAATAAAAATTTTAATAATAATAATAAACACTTGTTTAGTGCACTGTGCCTGTTTATTATTAATATAAACCTTTATTATTTCAATTTTCATAACAAATCTGTAAGGCAGGCACTCTTTTTAATTAGTTTTTACTGTGATTTGGGTGAAGGTTTACAGAGCAAATTCATTTTTTATATAATAGTTCATACACATTGTTTCATGACATTGATTGCAATCCCCATAATGGAACAGCTCTCTTTCCACGTCCTCCCTGTGGTTACCTTTTCCCTGTGTCCTTCTTTCTTATGCTTTCCTGCCCTCTGAACTCTCTGTGTGTAAATACTGCCCTTCTGATTCCCATGTTCTAAGGAGTGTTATGTACCTACCTGGTGTGAATGTGAACACCTTAAACACCTGTCCATTGTAAGGAAGGCACTCTTATTTACTCCCGTTTTACAAAGAGAAAACAGATTTATGGAGGTAGCTAGTTAGCCAAGATCACTCAGCTGGTGACAGGCTAGAGTTCAAACCTAGGCAATCCGGTAGGAGTTTGGTCTCTCAGTAAAAAGTCGGTATCTGGCAACTTTTAGAAAGCAATTGGAGAACTAATGGAAAAAAGAAGTAACAAGAATCTACATTTCAGAAAAGTGGTAGCATAGTGCCTAAGGCATTTAACTGCTAACCAGAAGGCCTGCGGTTCAAACCCACCAGCCATTCCCTCGGAAGGAAGGCTAGGCAATCTACTTCCCTAGTGATAACCAAAAAACCAACCTAACTCACTGACGTCGAGTTGATTTCGACTCATAGTGACCCCTCCTTGGGTTTCTGAGGCAGTATCACTACGGAAGTAGATTGTCCAACCTTCCTTCCGAGGAGTGGCTGGTGGGTTTGAACTGCCAGCCTTCTGGTTACCAGCCAAATGCCTTAGGCAATACACCACCAGAGCTCCTTCCCTAGTAATACTGCCTGGGAACCCAAGGAGGGGTTGCTATGAGTCGGATCCGACTCCACGGCAGTGACTTTTGGGTATGGCTCCAACAAGGAAGAACACCAAGGGGGTATCTGACCACCCGGGCTACTGACTTGTAAGACCCCGCCCAGCATCCTAGCAGTCCTCATTGGGTCCCTTCCAAATAGCGTCAAATTTCAGGCGTCCATAAGGAGGCGGGATTTCCGGGCACAACCCAGCCGAGCCAATTCCGGCTTAGCCGGAAATCTTTACTGAGGGAAGGATAAGGGATTCCCGCCCGAAGCTCCTGGAGAATTTTATTTCACCGACTCGGAAGAAAGATTGGCAGGGGTAATCCGTGCATTGCTAATTTTTCAGGGTAGTGGAAAACAGGATTTGAACATGGACAGCCGCTTACAGGAGATCCGGGAGCGGCAGAAACTACGGCGACAGCTCCTCGCGCAGCAGGTCCGCGGCCCGGGTAGCCAATGCGGGGAGGGATCGCGAATGCGCGTGCGCGGCCGCTTTCTCCTCTCTCCCTGCCTATCTTCGTCCTTTGCGTACCTGCCCCTGCCCATTCCTTCCTGGTCCTGATACTCGCACTCTTGGATCGTCCCTTGTTCTTTCAACTCCCACGGTGCTCCGATTTTTTTCCAGTCTCTGTTACTTTGTGTGGTAGTGTTAAACCAGACGACACGATTGATGTTCGGCAACATTGATAGAATCCTTTTCGAGTGTCTGGTAGGGCCCTTGATGGTAGGGATGCATGGCTTTGGTCTTTGTAAATAAATTTCTGCAGTTGATGCTAGGAAACGTGATTTATCCCTAAATTTCTCTTCACTATTTCATTACTCTTCTTGGACTTTCCATTTCTTAGAGTCAACAGCTAAATCCTGAGATGGTGGCTTCATTGTGAAATGGGTTTATTTTGGGAAGGGGTCATCTGCTTTTAAGACTACCTTGGAAGAAGCCTATATGTAAACATTAAACTCTGCGTTTTGTATATTGCAGTCCACTCTGCGACGTATACCATTACCATTATTACCCATAGCTAATACTATCAGTCACAACAACCCAATGAAATAGGTAGTATTCACTTAGAAAATAATAAACAGAGCCTCCAGAGGTTAAATAATTTTGGCTTAGGTCACTGACAGCTAGGCCAGAAAATTGAATCCAGGTTTATCTCTCCAAAGCTTACCTTCTAAACCACTCTGCTTCACTGCTTCTTGTATGACCCTCTGCCGTCAGGTCAATTCCCACACATAGCAACCTTATTGAACAGAGTAAAACTTCCCCGAAGAGTTTCGAATGCTATAAATCTTTACTGAGACAGGCTGCTTTATCTTTCCCTGTGGAGCAGCTGATGCATTCCAACCATTGACCTTTTGGGTGGCAGCCCAGTGCTTTAACCACAGCATCACCAGAGCTCCTTCCTTGAGTGTGTTAATACAGAAGAACATACTAATCTTGCCTATTAGAGTGCGCAAACAGAAAATACAGAGTACAGTACTACCTCTACGTAAAATCTTTTCCATTCTGTTCTTCAGATCAGTAAAAAGTGATGGGTAAAATGCTCATAGGGTTTAATGAGGCATCTTGCTGTTACTTTTCAAAAATAAATCTTGCCTTTAGTCACCAGAAACTTATCCTCTTTTATGATTTAATGAAAAGATATATATTATAGTGTTTAAAATGTGGTGATTTGGAATCAGATCTAGTCCTATCCTGTACAATCCTGGACAAATGAGGTATCCTTTCTAAGCCTTCTTTTCCCCTATTTATCTTCAAAATGTTCAGGTTTTAATTAAGATTTCTAGAAGATTTGGCTGGAAATACATTCATAAAACAATTATTTGTTGAACATCTGTGTTCCAAGAGCTCTAGTAGGCCTTGGCAGTTCAGCTATGAATAATAGTCCCTAATCTCAAAGAACTTACATAATACATACAATTTAATAATGGCAGCCATGTGTAGTCCCTTCTAACTATGTGTCAGTCTCTTTGCTAAGCTTTTTACTTGTTGTTGTGTCCTGTTGAGTCGGCCCTGACTCATAGCGACCCCTCTTTGGGTTTCCAAGGCAGAATCACTAAGGAAGTAGATTGCCCAACCTTCCTTCCAAGGAGTGGCTGGTTGATTTGAACTGCCAGTCTTCTGGTTAGCAGTCAAATGCCTTAGGGACTATGCTACCAGAGCTCCCACTAAAAAGAATAGAGATCAAGAAAATGTTAAAGAGGTGTTGAAGTATCAGGACCAGTTGATATATTGGAAGAGATTTATCATTGGTGAACCCTGAGGGAGTGATAGGAAGTGGGTAGACTAAAAAGGCAGTAGGTAATTGTTTAAGATCAAGGCTAGTAGCTTAATGTTCTCTTACATTTTACTATACCTTCTTTCCTTTCCTAGAAGTCTCGTGGAGTAGTGGTTAAAGCATTCAGCTGCTAACCAAAAGGTCGGTGGTGCAATCCCGGCAGCCAACCCTGTGGAAGAAAGATGAGGCAGTCTACTTCAGTAAGCATTTACAGCCTTGGAAACCCCATGGGGCTATTTTACTCTGTCCTATGGTGTCTAAGGCATTTGACTGCTAACCAAAAGGCTGGCTGTTCAAACCCACCAGCTACTCCTCAGAAGGAAAGTTGGGCAATCTACTTCCATAGTGATACTGCCTCGGAAACCTAAGGAAGGGTCACTGAGTCAAATCCAACTTGAAGGCAGTGAGTTTGAGTTTTGGTTTGGATAGAGCTGCTGTGAGTTGGAATGCACTTGATGGCAGTGGGTACAGTTTAGTTGGTCTCCCCTTTCCTAAGCTAAAGGGACAATTCAATGCACATTTCCTTATCGCTTTTGTGTGCTTAAAAGTATAGTTCTTCGTGGACTATAAATTGCAATCTGTACTTTTGTGGCTGGCTCTTAAAGCTTTCCGTGAATTAGTCCTACTCTACTTAGCCAGCCTCATCTCAACTTAATAATTTGTTTACATTTGTTGTTTTTTGCAAAATTTCCCCAACTGTTAACTCAAATTTACATGACCATTTTTAAGGAATTAGTAATGTTCAATAGTATGCCTGTAATCATTATGAAAACTTGTTGTTAGGTGCTGTCGAATCAGTCCCTACTCATAGCTACCTTTTTACACAGAATGGACCACTGCCTGGTACTGTGCCATCTTCATAGTCATTGCTATGCTTGAGCTCGTTGTTGGCAGCCACTGTGTAAATCCATCTTGTTTAAGATCGTCCTCTTTTGCACTGACTCTCTATTTTATCAAGCATGATATCCTTCTCCAGGCACTGGTCCCTCCTGATAGCGTGAACAAAGTAAGAGAGGTGAAGTCTCACCTTCTTACCTTCTGTAGAGCATTCTGGTTGTACTTCATCAAAGACAGATTTGTTTGTTTTTTCTGGTGGTCCATGTGTATTCAGTATGCTTCACAACCATAATTTCAAATGCATCAATACTTCTTTGGTCTTCCTTTTCCTTTGTCCAGCTCTCACAAGCAAAGAAGGCAACTGAAAATACCATGGCTTGGGTCAGGCGTCCCTTAGTCTTCAGAATGACATCTTTGCTCTTTAACACTTTAAAGAGGTCTTTTGCAGTAGATTGGCCCGTGCAGTATGTCTGATTTCTTGACTGCTGCTTCCATGAACATTGATTGTCAATCCAAGTAAATGAAATTTCTAACAATTCTAATATTTTTCCATTTATTAGGAGCTCCGGTAGCATAGTACCTAAGGCACTTGACTGCTCACCAGAAGGCTGGCGGTTCAAACCCACCAGCCACTCTTTGGAAGGAAGGTTGGGCAATCCTACTTCCGTAGTGATACTGCCTCAGAAACCCAAGGAGGGGTCGCTATGAGTCGGGGCCGACTCGACAGCAAACAACAACAACAACATGATGTTACATATTGGTCCGCTTGTGAGAATTTTTGTTTTCTTTATGTTGAGTTATAATCCATACATACTGAAGGCTGTAGTCACTTATCTTCATCAGTAAGTGCTTCACGTCCTCTTCACTTTCAGCAAGCAAAGTTTTGTCATATGCATATCATAGGTTGTAAATGAGTCTTCTTCCAGTCCTGATGCCATGTTTTTCATATAATCCAGCTTCTCAGATTTGGTTCTGCATCCAGATTGAATAAACGTGGAAGGATGCAACCTTATGCAAACCTTTCCTGATTTAACCATGCAGTTTGTTCTGTTTGAACTACTGCCTCTTGATCTATGTACAGGTTTTTCAGAGCACAATTAAATATTCTGGAATTCACATTCTTCACAATGTTATCCATAATTCGTTATGATCCTGTTCTGGTTACCTGGTGCCGCTCTGACAAGAAATGTACTACAAACGGGACGGCCTTAACAGGAGTTTATTCTCTTACAGTTCGGAGGTTTTAAGTCCAAGTTCAAAGTGCCACACTCCAGGGGCTGGGTGAAAGCCTCTCAGCCTTGGGCTTCAGCTTTGCCTCCAGCTCCCAGCCCACTGAAGCTAGAGGCTTTTCTTTACTCAGACAGCTGCTGGCTGCTGAGGCTGCCAAGCCCAAGGTTGGCAGATAAAAAGGCACAGTCCTGATGTTACCAAACCCCACGGCAGTCCATTAACTTAAGTCCATTGTAAGTCCCAAGGTCGGCAGAGCATAGCAGGTTGCTGAGCAATGACACGGCTCCATACAGGGTCCAAGTGTGCCATAAGCTAGAGACCATTCCCAAAGCTGCTTCTTACATACAGGAAACAGACCACAAAGCCAAAGCAGCTATTCAGCTGCCCAGCCACTCAGCCAGGCCCAGCCAAGTTAACAAACATAACCACCACAGAGCCACACTGTGAAATGGATTTGCTTAGTCAGTAACACAGGTAAACATCTTTCTGATACTCCTTGCTTTTAGCCAGGATTCATCAGACATCAGCAGTGATATCCCACATCAATTGTGATATCCTTCATTCCATATTCTCTTCTGAATCCATCTTGTATTTCTAGCATTTCCTTCACTGTGAACTGCTGCTTGAAAAAACCATGGGATGAATAAAGCACTATTACGTAGCTGATACATGCAAGGTGGTTAACATAGTGCCTGCTGCACTGTAAACTCTGTTTTCTTTATTATTGCTACTACTGTTACTAAATTGTGATTTAACTTACTTTAAAAGTAGGAATTTGAATAAAATTAAATGCCTTAATTTCAAACGAATTGAAAGTATAAATGATTTTCTAGCTGTTGCAGTCATTCTTAACTAATGTAGTTTTGTTCCAGGGTATTTTCAATTTGTCTTGGAGGCTAATTCATTTGTTAGCTCTGATGGTTGAAGATTTATTTTCTCAATACTTGGAGGCACAATGGTTAAGTGTTCAGCTGCTAACCAAAAAGTTGGTGGTTCAAACCTACCTAGTGGCTTCATGAGAGGAAGAACTGGTGATCTGCTCTTGTAAAGATTGCAACCTATGGAGTAATCCCTCAAAGACAGCCAAATACCTTGGGAGAGAGAACCACAGGGTCTGCCAACTCAGGAGCATAGTATTGGGGGACATTGGCACAACATAATACATAAAAATCTTGTTCCACAACCTACTTTGATAAGTAGCAACCAGGGTCTTAAAAGCTTTCAAGTGGCCATCTAAAATGCAGCTAATGGTCTCCTTGTATCTGAAGTGAAGAGGAGTGAAGAAAATCAAGGGCATTTGGAAACAGCCTGAGAATATGATGGACCTCGAGATCAGAAGAACTAGATGGTGCCCTGCTACCAATGCCAGCCACTCAAGAAGGGATCAAAACTAAAAATCCTGGATAGAGGGGGAGGGAAAACATGGGACAAAATTCAAAAACACAATAATGACCAGAATTACTGGTCGGATGGAATTTGGTGAGACCCCCAAGACTATGGCCCTGGGATTCACTTCAAGCCTGGGTTAGGACTCACTCCCAAGGACTGGCTCTCAGCCCAACAGTAGAAAGCCTTACATGCAGAACACCCAACCCAGGGCAATGCATCCACCTACTCTACAGAAATACAGGCCTTGGAGCAGTTGGCTGTGGGGCACCAGAGGGGCAGCATTCACATGGAGGAAAAGCTAGACAAACAGGAGTGCATAGTTAAGGGCATGGAGCTGGGGGTTGGGGGGAGTGTTGCAGCTAAGGGAGGGCAGGAGAATGGGGAGTGGGTTAGGGTTGGGGATAGTAATTGGAGAGTGAAACCAAATGTATATGAACTGTTGAGTGTAAAACAAATTCTACTCTGTAAATTTGCACCCAAAGCACAATAATAAATAAATAATGACATTTTGGCTTAAAAAAAAAGATTGCAGCCTATGTGAGGGCATTTCTACTCTTGTCACGTGGGGTCTATATGAGTCGACCATGGACTTGACAGCACTTCAGAACA